GAGAAATCACATGGCTTACATGTAGGCATTGTGGAAAGTGAAGAATCTGTGAGTGACGGAATTCTGGTAGCTAGATGTCTTGTTAACGTTGATAAACTAATTCCAGTAAGGGTTGTCAATTTATCGAAGAGACCATTTCATCTGAAGAAACGACAAGCAATAGGACTCTGTACACCGGTGAAAAACATAATCAAGTGCGAAGACCGTTCCACTGGAAAAGCCACCACAAGTTGATGCCAACTTTGTTAAACAGCTAGTTAAGAATTACGACCACCTGACAGCTAAAGAACTTAGAAAAGTCAAAGAATTTATCAGTGCCTGACATTTTCGAGGCAGGAAAATCTACGGGACGTACCAGTCTTGTTCAGCATAGAATTTATACAGGCGATGCAAGGCCAATACGACAAGCACCTAGAAGACTTCCATTTGCTAAACAAAAAGAAGTAGCAAATATGATACAGGACATGATGGATGCAAATATTATTGAAGAAGCTTCTGAACCCTGGTGCTCACCTGTGGTCCTAGTAACTAAGAAAGACGGATCTACACATTTTTGTGTAGACTATAGACAACTAAATCAGATAACGCAAAAACACAGTTATCCACTTCCCCGAATAGACGACACACTAAACACTCTATCAGGTGTAAAATGGTTTTCCATGCTAGACTTTAAAAGCGGATACTGGCAAGTGGAAGTACATCCTGACGATCGAGACAAAACTGCTTTTTCAACTGGCAGCGGATTATACAGATTCCAGGTTCTCCCGTTTGGTCTCTGTAATGCCCCAGCTACCTTTGAACGCCTAATGGAAATGGTTCTGAAAGGATTAACCTGGAAAACTTGTCTAGTATATCTCGATGACATAATGATCATGTCAAAAACTTTTGATGAACATCTACTAAATTTGAGTCTAGTATTTGACAGATTAAGAAATGCCAATCTAAGACTCATCATAATAAATGTTCACTGTTCCAGTCGGAAGCCCATTATTTGGGGCACGTCGTTTCCGCAGAAGGAATCAAAACTGACCCACCCGGAGAAAATTGCAGCTGTCATTGCAGCGGACATTCTTTCCAGGCGACCGTGTTTAGAACGACAATGCCGGTACTGTAAAAGGCTTGAAGAACGAAAGGAGCTGGTTGAATAAGTTAGTCTTCAGGCGACCACTATCAAGCCAGAGGATGACGAAAACGCAATCACCCTTGAAAGCCTAAGAAAGGCTCAAAAGAAAGACAATTACTTGAAGATTGTCCGAGAATGGCTCAAAAAAGGAGTCAGACCTACATGGCAAGAGATAGCCAAATATAGTGGAACCATTAAAGGGTACTGGACTCAGTGGGATTCCCTGTATCTTCACGATGGCCTGTTGCACCGGAAGTAAGAGAGCCCCGATGAAGTACTTGTAGTCCGCCAAGTGATACTGCCGAAATCACAGGTCAAAAGTGTGTTGGAGGAGCTTTATAGCAGCCGTTCAGAAGGACACTTTGGTACTAAAAGGACACTTGCACGAGTTCGGGAAAGATTTTATTGGGTCAATTGTCGACAGGATGTAGAAGATTGGTGTAAGGAATGCGACCTTTGTAATGGCAGAAAAGGGCCCAAAATACAAGAAGTCGAGGTAAAATGGCACAGTACCTTTCCGGAGAGCCTTTCGAACGAATCGCCATAGATATCCTCGGACCACTTCCCTTAACAGAAAAGGGAAACAAATACTTAATGGTTGTTATGGACTATTTTTCAAAGTGGCCCAAAATAGTGCCTATTCCTATTCAGGAAGCGACGACAGTAGCGGAAGCCTTTATGACGAACGTCATTGCGAGACACGGAGTCGCCCTGGAATTACATTCTGACCAAGGACGAAATTTTGAATCCGAATTATGGCAAGAATTGATGAAGCTGTTAGGTATCAGGAAAACCCGCACTATGCCTCTCCACCCACAGTCCGACAGAATGGTAGAAAGACATAACGGAACGATATGCCAGTATCTTTCAATGTTCGTCTCTAATAATCAGAAGGACTGGGACACTTTAATTCCTCTATTTCTGCTAGCCTACCGAAGTTCTGAACATGAAACGACCAGTACTCCATCCATGATGATTACTGGAAGGGAGATGAAACTTCCTCACGATCTTCTTTTTGGAAGGTGAAGAAGCGGGCCGTACACCTTCCACGTACATACAGAACCTAAGAAAAAGATTAGAGAAGGTACACGAATTCGCTTGGCAACGTTTGAAAGTTAGTAGCGATAAAGCAAAAGCCAGAATCGACATGCATGCCACAGGGACACATTTTGAGAGAGGCGATCCAGTATGGCTGTACAATCCCAAGCGCCTAAAAGGACTTTGTCAGAAACTGCAAAAACCTGTGTAACAATATTTACAAAAATGTGCAGGACTTCACTTGTAACACCCTGTATCTCGAAAACGAAACGTTTTTGGACCTATGTTTATGAACTTTTACTTCTATTTTAGGATGTAGATTATTATGTTAAAATATGACCGTCTAATTTCGGGACACCCTGTACATCACAAAAGAAACACCCACTCTATAGCAAATTTTTGTCTCTTGAAAATAAATACGTGCTATTTAAAATTGAGAAAGTCAGATATTTAAATTGTTTTGTTGCTACTTTGATATGTGGCAAAGTTGTAAGGTTGTTTCAAGTATTGCATTCGGAAAATTGCTTCCACTCTTTTCTCTCAGTTAAGAGAAAAGGAGGGGGAAATCAGAATAGTTCGGACTGTAAGGAGTTGTTGGATAATTTGTCATTTATTTTGCAAAATCTATAAAATGATTCACCAAATTGACTTCTGATGAAACTTTTATTTTCGTGACAATACAAAACTGGGTGAGAAACTATTCCTAACATGGACCATTGTTGTGAACGTTGGGCGTCAGTTGATATTTGTAAATATTCAGCGGTTATTATCTGCATTAATGTGGGATTTTCTAGTGACGTCCAGCGTTCTTGACATGTTTTTGAACAGTCCAGACGGAAAATGCCACCTTTCCACACGCATTTCAGTTTAGAAAGACGTATTTTCTAGCACTAGTGCAAAAAGTGATTTCTTCCATTTACTTTCTCACACTAGTACAATAAGCCATTATGCTGCAGTATTATCGGATATTAAGGTTGTAAGGGTGTTTTCTCGCTGCAGAGAAAACGTTTATCTACGAATGGTGCTGACTACGGCCGGCCCTCGGGCGCCAGATTATTTATTGTGGTTTACTCCACAAATTCTCGAAGTGGCGTCGAAAGTACTCGGGTAGCTACAGATGGAGATAAAATTCCAGGATCCAGGTAATCAGTAGCAACAAGTGACGGGCTTTAATCGTCGCTTGGCGCTTATAAAGAATATTTCACTGACTGAAAATTAAGGGGAAAGTAAAGCAAGGAATTAGTACTACTTCACTAATACGGCCAGATAACATTAACACATATATTGTTGCTAACTATATACGGCTTAAAACTAAAAAAAAAAATGTATATTTCAACGCCCACCCTGGCTTGCGGTAATAATTATTATAAAACCTGAACAAAAATAAACAAACAAAACGGCCGGTAATGAATTCCGAATAGTCTCCACAATCAGACTTTAAAATTAAATTAAAATTAATTGTAGATGCGGTCGCGGTAAAAATTTACTAGTGAATCGTCTATGTTGCTGACATAAAAAAATTAATACGCAGGGCGGTTTCGTTAGGGGAAATGATTGCTCCGATCGCAGGAAATATCAACTACTTGACTACTTAATCGTTAATTAAACTAAAATGTAATTTACTATTTCGGCAAGTAAAAATTCTAAGAACGCTCGTAGTAAAAATTAACTATTTGACTGTCGTATCCGTATCCCAGGAAAAAATATAGTATCACCATGTTCTTATTTTTTATTTTTCTTTAATTGACTGTGTCGCGCCGCGTCCAACACGCTTTAAGTCCCCCTTTGACAGCGGGCCAAAATTTAATTTTGTACTAATTTTCAAGGAAGTCTTAATCATTATCTCGGATTTTAACAATTCGTTAAGTAGATTCCAAATTGCACGTGCGTGTTTTGACGAGGGCCCGAAAGCTTTTACTGGGATTTTATTATGTCTGCGCGTTAAAATAGAAAAATTATGAACTGATTTTTATACTGAGGTAAGAATAGTATTATTTACTGATATTCTTGAATAAAATTAGATACAACTATTGCTGAACGAACCACTGTAGTATGCAGTCTGTTTTATTTGTATTAAGTATACAGCTTTTGTTTAACGATAATTAATCTATATCTAGCAGGATTCGGATCTTATCCACCAAAATAGTGCAAATCAAACATTTTTCTTAAATTTAAATCTGTAAAGAAAAGTTCTTTATGAAATTATGTTTTTTTCGTTTCTTCACCTTTATAAAAATTAAACCCACACATGGCTACTGTCAATATCAATAAATATGAATATAAAATATTTAACTCTGTAAGCAGTGTAAATGATATTGCACTCGATCACATAATTTATTACACTTGTACATATTGAACACAAATTTAGAGCTAGTACAAAAGTAGTCACATGATTCTCGGATCACTTCAAGAAGGTACTTGCGAGATTTTGGACAAAGTATACCAGCGAAATCTTTTGATTTACAAGCAAAATCGTTCTCAAATCCTCATTTGTATTTCAATAAATCAGAATGAAGTATTAAAGTTTCTTAACAACATCGAGGATAAATAAATTCTTCCTATTTGTTCCTTTAATTTGAGATTGTGTGTCTAATCGAAGCAAATCAAATCTGGAGAATATGGTGGCTGTTCTACCAAAACTGTATAATCATCTGTATTAATTGCAGCAATTTTAGCAATAATATGGAAGCGGAATAATTTCAATATATTGTGTGTTCTAGATTATAACTGGACGATTCTAGTTTACTTTTCCGAAAACTCTCAGTACCTGCCAAACTACACTTTTTCTTCTTCCACAATTTATCGTCGTAAATATTTTCAACGTTTATTTGTTTTACAGCTACAAAGGTTGGGCAACACCATGGGCGGACACAAAAGGAAAGACGATTCGACGGCCCACCACCATCATCAGCAACAACAGCTACAGCAGAACGGCGGTACGCAAAATTCAAAAACCAAAAAACAGGGCGACATTCACAAAAAGGAGAAGGAAAAGCGAGATAGGGAGGGCTTAGTTTTATGGAGGAAACCGCTCAAAACTGTAGAATATTTTTTTAGGGAATGTTGCGAATTAGCTACCATTTATGGACAAAAGTAAGCGAACGTTTGAGTGAATAAAGACGGATTCTAAATTTTGTAACATAAATTGGCAAAATAGATTATTAAAGTAAAAAATGAATTATTAAGATTTTATTTATAAGATTTATTGAAAAACTATAAAATTTGACAGCAGCGCGAATGCACCACTAAGTCCGACAATAATTTTTTGCAGTGCAGACTTTACTTCACTAATGCAAAAATAAACTCATGATTCTAGTTAGCAAAATGTATAAAATATAAATCAACTTCAGTTCAATTTATGGTACTTAATTCTGAATCAACCTTCCGTACTTCTAAATAGAAAAATATATATTTCTTTTTTTTTTTAGAATTTTAGCAAATAAAAAACTCGTGGTAGTTTTGTTGATCTCAGTATTATCAATGTATATATTAGTGAATTCAAAAGGACCACATCAGCACGCAGTACAAGGAGTTTATAAGAAATTATTATGGTGTTTTTATTGGATAGGATTAGGTAAGGGTTGCCTATTTTTATACTTAATACTTTCAATGTCAAACCTGAATTATCCAAGTGATACCACAAATAATTCTCACACCTTTAAAATATCCATATATCCTGATTCTCATTAATTTTGAAGTATTGCAAACTATCGCTCTTTCTAATAATAGTGCTTTTAATATCTCGATCTTTATTTATTTAGCAAAGTGTTATATTAATTGTATTATTTTTTTGGCGATGATTTTATAAAAAAATGTTTTGTTATTTGTTACTCCTTACAATACTGATATTAATATCGTGATCCTCATTTATTAAAATTCTGAACCAGACAGTATTTTGTGTAAACCTAATGTTTTTTAGACTTTTGAAGTATTGCACACTCTTTATTACTTTTTGTAATACTCCTTTTATTTATTTATTAAAATTATTTCAATCGGTTTATTTTTATTTGTGGCGATTATTTTAGGAATATTTGAAGAATTGCACACTTTTTATTATTCTTTGCAATAATTGCAGCTTATTATGAATACTCATTTTTTTAAATTCTATATCATACAGAGTTTTGGGTAAGACTGATTCTTATGGGTGTTTGAAGTATTACACACTATTACTTTTTGTAATACTACTTTTAATATTCTAATACTCATTTGTTTAGCAAAATGTTATGTTAATTGTATTAATATTTTTGTGACGATCATTTTATGAGTATGACGTACTGCAAACTCTTTGAAATACCAAGATTAACGTCCTGATTAAAAATTTAAAAGTAAACAGTATTTTTGTAAAGTTAATTTTATTTATTATTGTACTCTTTGTAAAAAAAATATTTTTTTTTTGTAGGGATTCTATCTTCAGTAGGTTTAGGTACAGGACTACATACATTTTTGTTATACCTAGGACCCCACATAGCTCAAGTTACTTTAGCAGCGTATGAATGCGGGAGTTTAGATTTTCCTGAACCTCCGTACCCAGACGAGTAAGTATTCTTCTGTAACGGTTTATGTAGTGATTTTTAAGGAGTGCACTCATTTTTTTATTACAGTGAGTTTTATGCAAATAATACGAGTTTAATTTTATAATACATTTTTTGTTTTTAGAATTGTGTGTCCAAGCGACGGAAAAACTATGTCAATCACGTTTCTTAGTATTATGTCGAAAGTAAGATTAGAAGCTATGTGTTGGGGGGCGGGTACGGCTTTAGGGGAATTACCGCCCTATTTTATGGCCAGAGCTGCCAGACTATCCGGGTAAGTGTTCAAAATAATTTCCAAAATAAAAACCCTTTAAATAATACATTTTATTCTTGTTATTGAAAAAAATTGCAATGTTTTGATACCGAATTAAATGATAAATAATGATTATGTATATTAAATAATTTATGTAAAAAAAATATGCAAATGAATAGGAATTAATTTTACTTGTTTTGAGATACATAAATTTTATGCTTTTTTAGAATAGATCCTGATGACGAAGACGATGATCTGAAAGCTTTCGAAGAATTAGAAAAGAAGAAGAACAACCGTGACGAATTGACGTTCATCGAGAAAGGAAAGTTATTTGTCGAGGAAATCGTTCAGAAAGTTGGATTTTTGGGCATATTAGCCTGCGCGAGTGTAAGTACAAAATTGACTCGGCCCTCGTCTTGTCTATTAGCTTTACAGAGAACGATAATGTTTTTCTATTAATTTCTTTTTTTAATTTTGCAGATTCCAAATCCTCTTTTCGACTTGGCGGGCATCACATGCGGGCATTTCTTGGTGCCGTTCTGGACGTTCTTCGGCGCGACGCTGATCGGCAAAGCTGTCATCAAAATGCACATCCAAAAAATGTTCGTCATCATCGCATTTAATGAGACCCTCATAGAAACGGCCCTGGAATGGCTGAAGCTCGTCCCGGTAGTGGGCCAGAAGCTTCAAGTACCGTTCAAAGCGTTCCTGGATGGACAAAAACAAAAATTGCACAAAAATTCCGCGAAAACGACGACCGACGGCGGAGGGGGGAACATTTTGGGGTCGATTTTCGAAAAGTTCGTGATTGCCATGGTGCTTTATTTCGTCATATCGATTGTAAATTCGTTCGCGCAGTCGTACCATAAGAGATTGCATAAAAAAAGGAACACCAAAGCTAGCAAGGATTAAAAACTATATTTCAATTAGGTATTTTTTTTTATTAAAACCTAGGGGTTCACCACGGAACTGTATTGCCTAATAGACGCAATTCGTAAGTTTCAAAAAGTCTTATAGCATTAATTAAAATGTTTACATCATTAATAAATATTACGAATTATAGCTGGCTTTTGACCGATCCTTGTGGTATATGAAATAATACAAGTACATTAATGTATAAAAAGCTTTAGCGACAATTCTAGGAAGAAACTAGACTTTTCAATGTTGATATTCTACCGAATTTGGAATTTGCCGGTTTATTTATCAATACAAAAACTTTAGCAATTTTTGATCTACATTTGGACGTCATTAATAAATAGCGAAAAGTAAATGGGGCTCGTATTGGACCCTTGCGTTATATTCGATAATACAAACGCTCAATAATTTCGAATTGGGGATATTAAGAGACTGACTTTAAATTTTAAAGACTTACATTGTCACATGTGTTTCAGAAGTCAACATTTCTAATTGAGGGCTTTGGTTGTTAAAAGAGGTTATTTTTAATTTCTATTAAATAATGATGGTTGCGTGGTGAAACGCCCAGTATATACATATATTTTTTGATATAATTTAGTGACTTTTTCCCAAAATATAATTTTCAATAATTATTTTATAAAAGGAGTAGATGTATTTTTTCTACCAAACCAAAAGAAAATAGTGAAATTCTAATTTTTTAGATAAATAAATATATATTATTTTGGAATAGAAAAAAAATATTCAGTTGTTTTTATATTTTATATATATTTAGCGAATTTGTTATTTATTTTGTAATATTTGTATATACGGTTTTCCAACCATTCCTATTTTTCCTTTTATTTTGAATAAAGTTCACAATTCTTGTCGTTTTTGTTTGTGATAAGAAACTTCCAGGAACTACTGCGTTAGACAAGGAAATCCAAAAACATTTGCTGTGTCACCTGTCAAAAATTGCAATATATTTGAAATGTCACCTGTCATTTGTCAATTGGTGCTGTCTTATTTATTGAATTCTTCGTTTAAAAATGTTGTAGATTGTTTTGACGGTTTTAAGTCTTACTGAAGGTTGTCTAAAACGGTGCGTTCCTGGCTATTGGTATCGTTTGTGGTAGGTAATGTATTAAAAGAAAGAACTGATTAGATAAGTGGTGTCGATACAATTACTATTTTAACAATTACAATAAAAAATGTGGTTCAAGGCTATTCCGTCAAATAATAAGGTTTTTATAAAAATGTAATAGAGATATACTAATAAATATTCAGTTCCAATTTGCTGTTTTATTTAAAGCTGTGTTTTAGTCCTTCATAAATGATCTTTGGTTTGCTGCAAACTGTCAGAAATCTAATTGAAGAATGGGAGCTTTATTTTTAAGGGTTTAAAGTTCTAGGTGTATGAAACCCTATGACTACATTTAAGATAAGAATTATGTGCATCCGCTATTGAGCAAGTGCCTGTGGGGGACAAGTGAGAACTGGTGGAATTGGGAGTTGCTTCAGATCAATAAGCACCGTCAAAAAAGAACGTTTAGTTAGTCAGGAACAGCTCTATCACTGCTCGCGAGTATCCCAAACGACATAAAAGAAATCACTAATTATTTTGTTCCAAGCGTTTGCGGATCATATCTGTTAGTGTTTTAAAAACTCAGGAACGCAGAGTGCGTTTCAAATCTTTCAAAAGTATATAGTTCAGGGTGCCTATTCTTAAAATCGGGAAGTGAGAAATATTGAGAGAAAATTCTCACTTTTTACTCCCTTGTAAAAATTCGTATTCTTGAAATCGAATTCACCAAAATTGGTGGAGAATTTTCTCTTAAAACTTTCCTACTTTTAGGTAGAGAAAATGAAAATAACCAGAGAATTCAATTCACAAACATGGGCACTGCGTGTCAGAATTTAAATAAAAAAATCTCAAAATATTACTATAACCTCATTGATGTAAGTAGTTTTTAGGTATATTCATACATTTGCGGTATTTACTTTCCCTTTAAAATGAATTTGGACGAAAATAATAAGAATAATTTTTATTCAATACTTGAATTATTGCCAAAAGATTTGAATTTCTAGTTTGATAATTATTTAAAACGGCAGTTTACAACGTACATTAAAATTATTTTTAATGTACAATATCATTTTAAAATGTTTATACGTGAAAAAGTCAAAATTCCGTTGTCGATAGGTCTGTTCTGGTTTTGAGAAATAACGATCCACAACTGTCGGGCTCATGCGCAGTAGATAAAAAGTGTTCTGGTTTTTCTGGGACTACTTCGGATCTCTCAGTCCAGTGTTCTGGTTTCGTATCCGAAATAATCCGTGATTGTTGTAAACAGTCAAAAAGTGTTCATGCTTGGGAGTGTGGATCGACTCGGACTGTTTTGACCGCGCATGCGTTTTTGAAGTGTTATGAATATTGTATTGGCTTTTTAGACCATACGAAACGTATACAATCCCAAATTGTTTATTTATATGTGGACGAATGTCTCTTGTTCTTGTTTTATTTGTAAATTAAAGCAATTTTAGAATTATTAATTTTTTAATATTCTGTTTTTATTTATTCCATTGAAATGTGATGATAATGATAAACATATACATGCAAATATTATTTGAAGCTGAGCTTTCAAAAGGAACTTCATTATTATAATAAACAATAAACAAAACACCTTTATGACGTGTTCTGGTTTTCCAAGAATTTCAAACAGTCGGGGATTTTTTGCCTTTACGCATACGGTCCGGCGCAGTTTCAAAACAGTTTTCATTTTGAGAACCAGAACAAACCTGATATATAAATAAAAATCATAAAATCTTAAAATGTCATTTGCTGTCAAAATTTCGTAGTTTCTAATTGGTCGGATGATATAAAACAATCTGGCAACTCTGTATTTATTTTCACCATCTAGTTTTCCCCGGGGAGTTTCAGTTTCTCTCGTTTTCAAGCATACGGTTTTGAGAAATAACAATCCACAACTGTTGGGCTCATGCGCATTATATAAAAAGCTTTGTCGTTTTTCTCGGACTACTTCGGATTTCCCAGTCCAGTTTTCTGGTTTCATATCTGAAATAATCCGTGATTGTTGTAAACAGTCAAAATGTGTTCATGTTTCGGTTGTGGCTTTGGTGTGTGGAACGACTCGGGACTGTTTTGACCGCACATTTTGAAGTGTTATGAATATTAGACCATACAGAACGTATACAATCTCAAATTGTTTTTTATGTTCTGACGAATGTCTCTAGTTCTTGTTTTATTTGTAAATTGAGGCAATTTTAGAATTATTAATTTTTTAAAATTCTCCCGTTTTTTAATCCATTGAAATGTGATGAGGATGATAATGATGCAAATGTTATTTGAAGCTAAGCTTTCAAAAGGAACTGCATTATTGTGATAAACAATAAACAAAACACCTTTATGTGTTCTGGTTTTCCAACAATTTCAAACAGTCGGGGATTTTTTGCCTTTACGCACACAGTCCGCCGCAGTTTCAAAACAGTTTTCATTTTGAGAACCATAACAAACCTTAACTGCATGATTTGCGCTCTTGTATCCTTGGATTTACTCTATAGTACACAACTTTTTACTGTTCCTTAGAGTACGGTCACGGATATACAGTTGGAATAGTTTTCACATTAGGAACCTACCGGAAAATTGAGTGGTACATTTCATTTTAAATTAATCGCCACATTTTTTTGACACTTTGAAGAATTATAATTACGCAACTAAAAAACAGATCCGCAGTAGAACACCAATATTCTTTTTATCTTAGGCAAAAGGTCGCTGAGCTAAAAGAGACAGCTCGGCAGGAGAGTTAGCTGATTAGTGCATTAATCCTGAATATAGAGATGTACTTCATCGTTATCGACGATAAATATTTTATATTTCAATAAAAATATAAGAAATAATAAAAATATTTAATTTTGAATTTTTTTTATTAAACTGTTTAACTTTTGCTGTACACGATCAAATGCTGGACAGAGAAAATTATTTTCAATACAGTAAAATACTGTACTTTACAGAATACAGAACTGCTAAAAATGATCACTCCCTGGATTTGTGATTTGGAATTTTTCGCCATGGCTTTCAACTATAGCCTGCAGCGTTTTGACCGTGCCTATAAGACTTGCCCCCCTGAATTTTTTTCGATCGGCGCCCATACTGTCGCCACCAAAGTTTATTTTTCACCCCAACTCTAACCGTCCTGCAATTGATATGGCAACCATGCTCCTTTGCAAGTTTTGGAACGTGCCCCTGTTAATGACCATCGTGGAACGTGCTCAAATTCTGACAATAGACATTTGACAACTCGCCCTACTCAAAACTGTTAGCTTGATAATATCACGTAGATAATAGAACACTAAATTTTGACAATTGTGGCCACCACGCCCCTATGTTTACATGTCAAAGCTATTTGTCATCAAACTGATTGTTGACAAAAATTCAACAATTTAATTACCTGAGTTACCTGCAATAAGGCGAAAGCCACACACTGAAATTTCGATAAATTATCATCAACATTCCGTACATGTGATTAAAGCAGTGGTAAAAATGAACTACGGCAAGAAATCACCCACAGGCACACCCTCTGTATATTCACACACAACTTCCAGGAGCAATGCTAACTTGAGGGGCTCCAGGAGTTTGAAATCTTTGAAAACGCCCTGGTACCAAAAGCCTCTTGTTCAAGATGCCATATTTATAGACGTGCAACGCGCTTCACTCATTGCAGGGATATTTTCATTGGTAAGTCATCACTAAGGAGTAATATTTGTTTCAATTTATTAAACATTAAGATAATTTATATTCATAATTTCTTTTTTCTTTTCTTTATACATAAAACATATCTCAGTAATATAAGCATGTATACAGAAAAGACACTTCACTGATGTTTTTTTTTTTAATAATAATAAGTAAAAGTGATGTTACTTTCTCAATTTCTTCATAATTTAAACAATTTTTTTATTGCATTAACTTCTAATGGATTTTTTAACTAAAAAATTGTTATGAAAAGTTTGTAGAATTAATAAAATGTGATTTTTGGTTCAAATTATTGTTTTAAGGAATTATTAGTCTTATTATTTTTTTTTAGGTTTTATCTCTATTTACAATAATCACAGCATGCTTCGATCTATACTGCTATGCAATGGCAGCTCCTGGTTCTACCCATTATGGATATTATGTTATCAGCTTTCAGTTTGTCTATGTAGGCAATAGACATGGTAAGTTTAGTTTGATACATTTTCTTTTTCTTTTTTTAAACAATAATTTAAGATTATCCAATAATGAAAACAAAAGTTCTTGATTATTTTTTCTCTATTTTTAGTGAGAAATACACTAGTGATGTTTGCAGCCTTTTCAATTTTACTGTCCTTAGCAGTATTTGTTACAAGTATTATGTTAATAAATGCTTTGAGAAAGGTAGGAGGCCATAATTGTTTTAATCTATTTTATTCATTGGAATCCGTGACCTAGATTTGTACATGACCTGTTGTTTATTTTTAATACACCTTGTCCTACCGACGTTTTTTTAAAATAACAAATATTTTTTAGGAATATGAGAAAAAAATGTTGCCTTGGTTGTACAGTTTTGCTGTTTTTACGACGTTCAGATTTCTAGCCTATTTGTTTTTCTCGATTATCAATGATATGATTTTTGCTTACAACATCATTATGTGCCTTCTGTGGACGATATTCATTGTATTGAGTGTTTATGGATGGGTTTTGGTGTATTCTCTGTATATAGAACTGTCAGAATTGACTCGACTGGAAGATTTGGCTCATTTAAGGGTAAGTTCAACAAACATTTTATTTTCTTTACATTTTTTTTTTTTTTTCATAGATTTCAAAGATTAATGTAGTGTCCTAATGTTTAATTAAAAATATATACCAAACACTTTGATTATTTAATTTTTATGTTTTCATGCAGACATTTGAAAAGACTAAAGGTAAGATAACAAATGGATTTAATTTTTTTTTAAATCTTCTGATATTGGGTCTAGCATTAATATGGACGCAATGGAAAATGTTCTACTCTTGACATTTACTCACATATCATCTTCAATATCACGAAGTGTCATAACTTGATTTTCACAACTTTACAAGAGATAGTTTTAAAGTTTTTTTTATAAAGTTACATCTCTTTATGAAATTATCAGATACACTGGTTAGATACGTGCTGTTTTAATAAATGTAATGAATTGAGATACGCAATTTCATGAACTTGTAGAGCGTACTTTTTTACATAATATGTGACTTTCAATTTTTTCCTGATATTGACTAAAATGTATTAGATGGAATATCATTTTACAGTTTCATTGTTAAGAAGAATTGTAAGATATACATATAAGGATCTTAATAAATTGCTTGATGAAGGTGATGACACAGTTCTTTAGAAATCACAATTAAAAATTTCATGGTTGGAATTATTTAGACATTAAGGACTAGCCTGGACATAATGAATGGGTATTTTTATCTTGCAAACTTAATGAATTTTGAAGGGGTACAGTAGATTTATAATGTTTGCATAAAGCATTTTCAGGATCTACTCATTGTTCCGAACTTTTAGAATCAATTCAATTCATAGTACCAAAAAGGTATATTACTACTCGTAAAAATGATTTATTCTGTATTCCGTTTCACATAATAGTCTAAGACCTAGCATCCGCAAGGTGGTACGATCGTACCTCCAGCTGAAATTTTGAGAAGTGGTAGAAGCCAGACAACTCAGAGTTGTAATTTTTTGTTGTAATTTCCGCTTATTGCATCTTGTTTATAAATAATGTTTTTCCAGATGGGCACCATGCAGTCGCTAAACACATCGACAGCCCCATCTCTGGCGGGCTCTCGCCCAACGACCCCACACAGTACAGTTTCGACGATGCCGGTCTAGAGGAAATACCACTGGACACAACGCCTGCATATTGGCCACAAAGGTCCAAACCACCCATCGTTTCAACCATATATTAACTGTTCTATCTGCAAAATCAAATGCATTTATAATCTTTTTGTTATAAAAATAAGTTCAGATTAAGAGATCTTGAATTATGGGACGATATCATTGTGTTTGCATTTTATTTTCGAGTGACCTATAAAATTTCGTCTAAACTATACTTAATGACTTTGTTCACCATAGCAAAACTTGTTTTAAGTATCATAGAATCACGTTTCATAATCGGTTCCCTGAAGAAAACAATTACTTCTTTTACTAATACCGCAACAGGCATTGCATTATAACCAGAGAAAAACAGCAGAGATAAAAAATTATTTTCAACACTGTTTTGCTTACTTAGGAGAACGTCTTTCTCGATTCAGTTTCGTCCTTATTAGGACTCATCAAAAAATAGGCATATTCGATTCCAATCTCTAATGGGATTGTAGATGCGTTAAAGTTCCTCGTACTCATGGCTGGTGGTTGGGTAAGGATGAGAAGTCATAAAATAACGCCATCTACACTTAGTAAGCAAAATCAAAACTTGGAGGAATACTCGAGAATGTCTATTACTTGCTAATGAGTCTTAATATGAACGAAAATGGTAAAAAATGAAGTTCTACTTAGTAACCAAAATTTAAGTTAGGGTGTTGAAAATAATTTTCTATTTGTTGTTTTTCTATGGTTATAATGAGGTATTAGACAAAGGATCGTAGTTGGGACATATGGGATTTATTTTTTTATTTTATTTTTTGGTCATTTGAGTGGAAATTTCCTTTTTGATTTTTGACAAGTTGTGACTAATCAGATAAGCATGCAGTTTTTTTATTGAGAGTGATCTGTGTTAGTTAATATAGGACGTGTTATTTGTACTAAAGATGTTTAGATGGTCCATACACGATTTTCTTTTCACCTTTTATTATAGGTAAATAATTAACATCAACAATTACTGCCGCGCATATTCTAACAAACAGAAATTTTAGGTCGACTTGATAAAATCAAATTATAAAAGCATATTCTATTTGCAGTGAAGTATTTGCCAGTCCATCATCACTGATTACACATCATTTTAATATTTTTTGACAATGGTAAATTCGGCCAATGTCTATTAGTACAAAGGTTTTAAGTTTGTTATTGCAAGTTTTATGTATATATTGTTTGATTGGTTACATTTGTTTATTGTTTTTCATATTGTTAGGATTTCTGAGTCATGTATTTGACTTAAATGTTGTAATATATCATTGGAACGATGGGATCTACTTTTTTACCAGAGTAAAAAGTTTGAATGTTTTTTGATAGGATAAGTTTTACCCATTTTTAGAATATGCAAATGTTAAGATGTTTGTACTTTATTTCCGGCTGAAGTAGTTAGGATTATGAATTGTACGTACTTTACAATATTTTAAATCAAATTTAGTCTCTAAGTATTAAAACAAATTTTATTTAATAATGATCTGATTTTTATATGTGCTTTTGATTTTACATCAATTTGATATTTTTTATTTTTACATCCTGCCAATATTATTTTTATTTATTTGATTTGTTAAACATATTTCCTACACATAGTCAAAAAATATTTTTGAAACAGTATTAGTTTTATAAACTTGAAAATATAGTTCTACTACTTCTCAAAAATATAGTAAGCATAATTTTATATAACTATGTAAAAACATTCTATACCTATTTGTTAAATGCAATTTTATTTTTGAATTTAATAAGAAAATATGTTGAATACTCTACTGGCTGGTTATTATATTTTTGAGATACATTTTGAGTTGCCTACAAAATTGTTTCATATATCAAGAACGAGGGGTTGAACAATCAATTTCGTAATTGTTTAAAGTTTAAAAAAATTGATGAAGTTGACTTATATCAAACAGTTTTGAAGATAAAATGTTCAAAAACGTTCGACCACTCGGTTTAATATTGTATTATATACTGTAGATAAATATTAAATTTTTTATCCTCTAAGTTTCCATTTCATGTTATGAACGATTTTTTTAAAAAAATCTACGTTTTCGAGGAGACTAATCTCTGGCTATATATCTGCCTTATAAATGATGCAGTGCCTGTATTTTTAATATATATGACAAAATGTATTTTTTACATTTGGTATTATTTTTTGATGTATATTTGTTTAAGAAATTATTTTCGCAAAGCTTACCGTCCATTTTTTTAAACATGTATATTGTTTTTATTATGAATAAACATTTTTAATATAATGTTATCTTAATTATTTCCCATAATCCCTCTACAAAAGGAACAGAACTCCTGCAAAGAATTTGACCTTTGCTAAATTGTTTTTATGTTCATAGACTCTTTTTACTGTCTATTTAATTTATCCTGCCTAATTTATGACAAACATGTTTTTTGGGAAACTAATTAGGGACTTTATTATAATAAATTTATTTAACGAAAATATACAAATTTTAATTTTCATATTCTAATATTTCATAATAATCGCCCATCCTTATTGCAACTCCTTTATCAGACTTAATTTCTTTGGGTAGATCATTATCAGTAGCTTGAAGAGTATCTTCGCCTTTTAAAACTTTTATCCTCTCTTCAATTTGAAATTTCGCATATTCAGTTTTATCTATGTCCTCTTCTTTTGACTTAAATTCATTCTCTAGAGATTCTATAACCTGGTCTGATGTTTGTAAAATAACCATTGGGTCAGGATGAGCGTTTCTTTTGACATAAAATTCACCTGTATGTACTAATCGTCCTTTCATGTAAATATTCTTACCTAGAGGAATCAAAGATTCATGTTCTGGATAGGTTTTAAGTGATTTTAAGTTCGATATTAGTTTTTCTAGCTCTTCCTTTTCTTTAGTTAAATGTTGAATAGATTGATCGTAATTGTTAATGTCCGTTTGAAGATGGCCTAGAAAATTCTCACGTTCATTAAGAAATTCCGCAACATTTTTTTGCATTGCAATATAAAATGATTGAAATTTAATAGAAACTCAAAGTTTAAAATTGTTGTTTAATTTTATAGGTTATGGGTAAATGTCAATTGTCTGTCAATGTCATTTCTAAATTTCCACTTTTCTTCTTACACTGAATCGGTCTTCGTCTACTTGCTACGTTAGTTTTTAAAGTGAAAGGTTTGTGGTCCGTATTTATAAACAGAACTCAGCTGAGTCGGACTTGGGTAAGGCCCTTATTTATAAACAGAACTTACGTGAGTCGGACTTGGGTAAGTCGTCCTTGAACTAAAATCAAAGTTCGGTTACAACGTCTCTAAAGTTCTAGGTGGTTCTGGTGTTAAACTGGAATTTAGAGATGGATATTAATAAATCTGTAACCACATACTTTGATTTTCTTTTACTATACGGAGAATGGTCGCACTGCGCAGCTTTCTGAGTGCCTTTTAAAAGTAGATAGAAAACTCCGCCATTTTGAACCCATATTACGTGTTGCCTACATCTTGGCGCAATATTTTTAATAGGTGCGTTTTAATTATCCGCTTCTGCTTCAGAATTGTCGGTTTTCTTGTTTTAATCTGACAGGTTAAAACAACTAAACCGACAATTCCGGAAGCAGAAGCGGGTGATTAAAACGCACCTGATATTTTGCTTGCTGCTGTCAGTGTCAGTCACTATACGGGGCAAGAGAGAGGTCCGACACGCCCAACATAGGGCGCGGCCATTTTGAACCCTATGACACAGTTTATAGCTAAAGAATCAGATCGCTCACTCTGCGTCGGCACTTTTTATCTCAATGTTCCAGTTTATACAATGCGCAACTCAGATAATACAATATATGACAACCGCCTATAATAAAACAGCAGTCTTCTGCGTATCCTGAATTTGTATCCCTGGAGTGGATGTTATTTTGGAACTTTCAACTGGCCCGAGTGAGCTAACTGATTCTTTAGCAATAAACTGTGACTCCAAAAATAATATTCACTGACACTGACAGCAGCAATCAAAAAAATATCAGGTGCGTTTTAACCATCCGCTTCTGCTTCCGGAATTGTCGGTTCAGTCGTTTTAACCTGTCAGATTAAAACAAGAAAACCGACAATTCCGAAGCAGAAGCGGATGATTAAAACGCACCTATTAAAAATATTGCGCCAAGATGTAGGCAACACGTAATAAAGGTTCAAAATGGCGGAGTTTTCTATTTCCTTTTAAAAGGCACTCAGAAAGCTGCGCAGTGCGACCATTCTCCGTATAGTAAAAGAAAATCAAAGTATGTGGTGTCAGTGAATATTATTTTTAGAGTCACAGTTTATTGCTAAGGAATCAGTTAGCTCACTCGGACCAGTTGAAAGTTCCAAAATAGCACCCACTCGAGGGATACAAATTCAGGATACGCAGAAGACTGCTGTTTTATTATAGGCGATTGTCATATTATTGTATTATCTGAGTTGCGCAGTGTATAAACTGGAACATTGAGATCAAAAGTGCCGACGCAGAGTGAGCGATCTGATTCTTTAGCTATAAACTGTGTCATAGGAATCAAAATGGCCCCGCCCTATGTTGGGCGTGTCGGACCTCTCTCTTGCCCCGTATAGTAAATCAAAGTATGTGTCTGTAACTGTTAAGTACATTTGCGGATTTGTTACTACCCATTTCTTAATTCGGGCGATATAACCGAACTTCGATTTTCTTTCAAGGACGACTCAGCCAAGTCCAAATCTATTAGGCATTCCAACGACCTGTCCAAATGGCTACCAGTGGGTACTGACAGTTTAGATATGGCAACCCTGTTTTCATGTTGTCATTAACAGGGTCAATGATAACATGTATGTTATATACACTGCTCAAAGCTGGTCGTTTGCGAGCAGCCATATTGCCTGGCAAATATTTATTAATTTGAATCAGATTAGCAAAAATGTGTTTTAAAACCAATTTTCAGACTTTAGATATTTAAAAAATAATAATTGTTTATATTTTTACTTCAAGGCATAAGCTTATGTTTATTTTAAAAAATAGGGATGATCAATCTATGTAACTATCTATTTCACTCACCTTGTCAAATCACCAGGCCAACAGAGTTGCCATAACTTTGCCACATCATAACCTGTCAAAACCCACTGGTAGTCATTCAGTTTGGAATGCCTAATTGCCTATGGCTGCGTTCATCCGCGCCATTTCAAGGAGCGCTACAAAAGTAGCGATCACTTACGCTACCTGATCGATCTTTATGCACGGATGAACCATGTTTAAAAGTGACATTTGATTTTGGTTTATTCATTTTACTTTTGAGTTGAATGCCTCTGGTTGAAGATTTGTTTGTTTATTTTTTATTTGCTAATATGCTAATATAACCCTACTAGTCACCAAGCAAACCGTGGACGTAAGTGCGTAAGACAGATCAGTGTCACCGATCAGACGTAAATAAAATGCGCTACTTTTAATGGCGGCCGCTCCTTGAGCGAAATGTCAAAATACACCGTTCATACGTGCCACTCGAGAGCGCTACCAGATCGATCAGGTAGCATGTGGCGCGGATGAACGCAGCCTATGTCTATTGCCACTAACCATAATTACATCATCACTAAAATGGCTTATTGTGCATAGTGCAATGGAGTAATCTTTTAAAATAAAAACAACCCTTTGTGGTAGTCAAATTTATATTTATTAACATAACAAAGCTATTATAATAATTATTTATTTTATCAAAATATTTTCTGTGTAGATGTAGATATCAGAGGATATTATGTAACGTGTTCAGTACTATCTTTCTTATTTTTGTTCGATATACTTTGTACGATGAGGTTCAGGCAATCTAGACTTGAATTACTACTTGCTATCTCACAACCTGTAAATAAAAAACAATAGTTTAGCAAAAAAAATTCAAAAATAGTCGTTATTCAGGGTTAAAAAAAAATTGGGTCGAATTCATAAATATAATTCTACTAATAAACCCTTAATTATTCCGTATTAAATAAACATTCCAGAGTATCTCGTAACAAATGTATAAATGAAAAGAAAAATAATGATACAGAGCTGTCAAATAATTGAATTAAAAGAGTTGAAAATGTAATTAAATTAATTTTCTGTAATTGAATTACCTGAATTCAATTAGGTGGTTGAAACCTTAAAATTAATTAGTACTTCAATTACTTTCTAGAACGTAATTGTAATTGGTAATTTCTTTAAAATGATATTTGAGTAATTTAATTATTTTTTTGAACAATTCAATTCCTTTATAGTAATTCAAGTACTTTAAAGTAATTCAATTCATTTATTGTATTTCAATTACCACAAAATATTCAATTCCCATTTAAAAATTGTAGAAAACTGTAGTGCGTTACTGCTTTCTGTTTATTTGTGGTTGGCTTTGATGAATATTAAAAGGTTTATATTATGCAGTTTTTACTAGTTTTGGCGTAACTTTTTTATTTTTGAATATATTTGTATGCGGCTTGAATTATTCAATTCTTAATCAACTCCTATAGTGCGGAAAGTTATTAAATTTATTAAAAATATATATGTGCTTTTTTGTTTAAATAATTGAAGTGAATAGTTAAGCCAGAACAACTTTTCTCATATTTAATGGTTGTATTAGATAAACTGGATTAATAAAATATCAATGAAATTAATATTATGATTTCTAGATGTAAAATTAAAAAGTGCATTCAATTCATTCGTCAGCTAGTGACTCCTAGCAAAAATTATGCGAGACTTGCCGGTGTAATTGTCCCGACGTGCATTTCGGTGAATCATTTGTAAAGCGGCTACCGTTCATGGGCGTACGGAGAAATAATGATTATACATCGAGAAATAAGTTATTATTTATATTACTATGATTATTTCAGCAAACGTTTTAAAATACGCTGTTGCTAGGTACACGCTAAAGTGTACACAAATCAAAAAATTATATACACGCGAAACGTCATATTGCTGTATTAGGAGGTGTTTGTGTGAATGCGTCTTGTTTGTTATCATTTACGCCGTGACTCGCAGTAGTATTTTATAAACCTTAGAAGCAAATTTCACATACATGAACAAATAATAATAATGCCGTGACAACAAGAAAACGAAGCAACGACTTCTCGTAGGGTGGCGCGGCTTCGCCGCCACCAGAAAATTTCAATCCATACCTAGCTACGCCGATCGGCATTAACACCAACGGCCTAGACACAACTCACCTACTCTGTTTCGCGTGTATATAACTTTTTGAATTGCGTACAAGTTAGCGTATACCTAGACCACAGAAGAAAGAATCGTTCTTTATCCTGTGCCTAGACACAGTGTTTAAAATGCATACACCAAAATCAAGTATCCTTGTATACAAGGTATCCTACTATAAAGTAACACATTATAACAACTTTATAATTATTCTAGATTGAAAAGATATCGACGTGCGGTTTTCACTGCACCTTTGAGTTTTCTGAAGTTTTTGTGGACGTTATTGGACTTGTTTATTTTTGGATCGCTCTGGAGCAGCACCAAAGGAAAACTTAAACGGAAAACACGCTTCAAGAAGATACCAACCAAACAAAATTAGATGATTTCTTTGAAATAGAAGACTCACCAGCTGCAACAACGAAACCTAGCAGTAATAAGAAAATATATTAACCAAAAAACACTAACTGCATGACACTGTCATTATTAACCCAAGTCCGGACTCAGGTATTTACCGGTTATAATTAATGACGTTTCAAAGGGCTTAAATATGACGTCATAGAAAGTAACCAAGAATAACCAACATCGCATTAATTAAAATGGTAAATACCGCAAATTACCGGTTAATCGCTTTAAAACGGTTATAAGCTCTGAAGACACAATTTTTTCGGTTTATTCAATTTTTTTTCGATAAAACTAATCGTTTATCAAGTGTTAGCTTTTTAACAGCTGAAGGGTTTCTCAATGATTTTAATATGTAGGTTGTTGTGCTACATCGACGCACAAGAAAATGTACGTTTGTCCATTACATGTAGTTCGTCGCGTCGCAAGTCCCGGTGTTACTGAAAATTTTATATAAAAATAAAAGTGGTTCGTCGAGTTGAGAGACACGAACATATTTATGAGGGAGGTCTAGGTTTCCTCATTTTGTTTGCCGGTGTTTTCGCATAAATATGTCACTAAATAAGTGCTCGATTTTACGAGTATGCGATAAATTTTCCGCGTCTTAATCCGGAGGCCACAAAATATCAAATTTATACTCGAAGGTATAGAGTACGTTTACAACTAATTATAAAAACTGCTCCTATTCTTGAACTATAGAAGATTTTTTATTTTTTCACCAATTTTTTTTACCAATTTTATTTACGACCCTATACAAAGTGGTCTAAATTCAACACTCAATTCGAAAGAGATAAAGCTAATTATCCTTAGGACTTTTTTTAAGAAACTAAACATACTTGATGATAACTACATACGGAGGCATATTACCTATAACATTTTACAGAAGCGTTTTCTTATAAATATGCACATTTATCATTTTTCGAAACACTTCGTAAGTAGCTTACCATAATTCGTCCTTTGTATTGAAATGGGTATTAGTTATTTTTTTAGGGTCACTTTACAGGTTCGCCAACTTAAGTTACTAAACATGTACACCATAATTATTTCATATTTAATTGAGTTAATTTATATAAAGTAAAAGTAATACAAAAAATATCAATTATCATTATTACATAGGCTATTTGATTTTTGTACTGACTGGTAGAGCTCATTTCAAACATTTTTTACCTGAATTGCAGCTGCTTCGGCTACTTTCTGCATTTGCAACAGCTGATTGAAAGGACGTTAGTACCTAATACGAATTGCTTCATTTTTACTTCCAAGCAAGGAAAATTGTGAATTGTAAATTGGGTCTTGGTGATCTTGGTAGATAATAGAAAATGACAAATTTAAAAAATCACCCTGTTGTTTTGGATCAAGTACTGCTACTTATTTTGAGATTTCTATAAATATATCCAGATCCTTGATAAGAATTAATACTAATTTATAAATATTACTCAGTGCCAAGATACACATATTATTTTAATATACATCAACACTAATATTCGATCAACACATTATTCAACGAAAAACAATTTATTATGTCGAAAAAATTAATTAATTTCATTATCAATCGGTTGCAGAAACGTTTATTAAAATTTAGTAGCTTGATAATCTTTTGACATATTAACTTTGTTCGCAGAGCCTGTCGCCGACAAATCCACGACAGATGAGCATGCGCATTTCAATATCAGGCAGTCGAAAGGCCGAAAATTGACCGACTGAAATCGAAATGCGCATGCTCGTCTATCGTGGACATGTCGGTGACAGGCTCCGCGAACAAAGCTATTAGGCATTCCAACGACCTGTCCAAATGGCTACCAGTCACATACTTTGATTTTCTTTTACTATACGGAGAATGGTCGCACTGCGCAGCTTTCTGAGTGCCTTTTAAAAGGAGAAAACTCCGCCATTTTGATCCCTTATTACGTGTTGCCTACATCTTGGCGCAATATTTTTAATAGGTGCGTTTTAATTACCTGCTTCGGAATTGTCGGTTTTCTTGTTTTAATCTGACAGGTTAAAACGACTAAACCGACAATTCCGGAAGCAGAAGCGGGTGATTAAAACGCACCTGATATTTTGCTTGCTGCTGTCAGTGTTAGTGAATATTATTTTTGAAGTCACAGTTTATTGCTAAAGAATCAGTTAGCTCACTCGGACCAGTTGAAAGTTCCAAAATAACATCCACTCCAGGGATACAAATTCAGGATACGCAGAAGACTGCTGTTTTATTATAGGCGGTTGTCATACATTGTATTATCTGAGTTGCCCAGTGTATAAACTGAAACATTGAGATCCAAAGTGACGAAGCAGAGTTAGCGATCTGATTCTTTAGCTGTAAACTGTGTCACAGGGTTCAAAATGGCCGCGCCTTATGTTGGGCGTGTCGGACCTCTCTCTTGCCTCGTATAGTAATCAAAGTATGTGATTTTATAAAAAATATTGTTCTCAGATTGGTTACTATTATCTTTTCTTAACCATTTCAATAATAAAATATTTAGATGGTTTCTAACTAAGAGAAAAATGTTTTTCTGTTTCTTGTTTACATTATTTTTTATTATTTCTCATCGTATATGATCTTCAAACGGATTATGTGCCAACACTTCTCTCACTAGTACGAATAAATCATTATGCGTATATAATTTCAAACTAAAATAGTTATTTATGCAGTCGGTTACGAAATGCCTTATTTTAGGTAACTTGTGAATATTTGCGGGACGAGCACAGAAGCATAGAGATAGAATGAAGTAGAGACGATATAAACACTATTTTGCGATATGATAGAAGTTCGCCCTTAGCCGTGCCCGACTGACGGAAACGTATAATGAAAATGGCGACTTAGAGTAGTACTTTGATTTATTTGAAGTCAATAATTTTATATTTGAAGCTATTTAAAAAAAATGGCACATATTCTCACCAAAACTTACTAGCTCCACTAGCTCGAGTTTGAAACATGACGTAAAAGTGTAATGCAAAGGTGCAGACACTTTTAGTATCGTCAAGTGCCGCGTTTGAGAATCCACATCGGATGCATTTTTTACATCTCGAGCGTTTTTTTGTCCACATCGGACACATCTGTCCCATTACATTTACGTATACTGAATCACGTGATCAAAGATTTTCTACATCTCAGATGCATCCGATGTGGATTCTCAAATGCAGCAAAAGCATCTCATCTTTATTCTATCTCAATGAACAGAAGTCAAAAAAAGCCAAGATCAAGAAGAATAAATGCAAAATATCGAAGAAAAGTTAGTGTGTAGACGTGCAAAACGAATTGTCGCAATTTTATTAGAAATCAATTTT